CAGAAAAAGCATTTGAAAATTAAAAATCCATGTTTTGATAAAAATTCTGAAGAAGATAATCATAGAAGGCTTTCTGTCAATCTGATAAAGCCTGTCTACTATAAACCAATGGCCAATGGGATGCCAAATAGAGAAGAGCTGAAAACTTTCCCTCTGAAATCAGGAACAAGACAAGGATATCTACTGTCACCACTCCCGTTCAGTGTAGTTCTTGAAACACTATACAGAGAAGTTAGATAAGAGAAATAAAAGAAATATAGATAGGAAAGAAGGAAGTTAAATTATTATTTGCAATTGACATGGTCCTCTGTATATATGACCTCAAGTATTCCATCAAAAGACTCTTGGTATTAATAACCAAATCAGTAGCACAGCAGAATACAAAGTCTGAAGTCAAAAATCAGTACTGTTCCCATGCACCAATAAGAAACTCACCAAAGGAGAAGTTAAAGAGACTATAACTTTCACAATAGCATCAAGTAATTTGAATTATTTAGAAATAATCTAAGGAAGAATGTAAAAGACACCTACAATGAAAAATTATAGTAACCTGAGAAAGGATATTGAACAGGCCACCAGAAAATGAAAAGATGTCCCCTGTTCCCTGGATAGGCAGAGCCAGTATAGTGAAAATGGCCATATTTCTAAGAATGTTATTCAGGTTTAATATAATCCCAATCAGAATGCCAGTAGCAGACTTCACATAACTAGAGAAAAAAATTCCTAAAATTCATGTGGAACTAGAAGAGATCTAGAGTAGCACAAGCAATTACTGTTAAGAAGGGAAAGCCAGGAAAAACAAAACGAAACAAGAAGAAGGGTAAAGCAGGGGACTTGGACTTCAAGTTATACCACAACATTTTATGGTAAACACTGCATGTTATTGAAAAAAATACTTGTGGATTAATGAAACAGAATAAAGGCGCACTTACCTATTTAAACTTTTCTCTTTTTTTTCTGGTACCAGGAATTGAACTCATGACCTCGCACTTGCCAGGCAGGCGCTGTGCCGCTGAGCTAAATCCCCAGCCCCCTATTTTAACTTTGATAAGTGGGCCACATCCATGGATGAATAATAGCATATTTGACTAATGGTTCTGGGAAAACTGGCTATGTGTGTACCAAAGATTGAACTGAGACTAGCATACACTAAAATCAAACTGGATCACATATGTAAATGTTAGAGCAGAAACACTTAATCTGCTGAAAGACATAACAGGTAGAACTCTTGAAGACGTAGGCATAGGCAAAGACTGAACAGAACCCTGCTTGCACAATAAAAAGTAAATGGAATCAACAAGTGGGATCACATGAGATTAAAAAGTTTCTCCACAGCAAAAAAAAAAAAAACCAAAAAAACACTAGAAGAGAAAAGAGACAACTGACAGAATGGGAAATACATTTTCTAGTTGCTTCTCAAAAAAAACAAATACCTAGAATATATAAAGAATTCAAAAAAATGAGGCCCCACCTGAATACAGAGATTAAAAATAATGACAATCTGAAGTCAAGAGACTCTTCTCAGATGCAGAAGAATATATCATCAATAAATACATGAAAAAGTGTTCATTGTTGCTGGCCATTGGAGAAATGCAAATTTAAACAACACTGAGAATCCATTATATTCTATAAGAATTGCTATAATCAAGAACTCAACCAATAATGAATTCAGGGAAAACGAAATGCTTCTTCATTGTTGGTAGAATGTAACCTGGTACAGCCATTTTGGAAATCTGTGAGGAAATTTCTCAGAAAACTAAAACTATAAATTCCATTTGACTCAGCTATTCTTTTAGCATTCTCCCCAGAAGTATTAGATATCACAACACAGGGGGTATAAGTATACCCATGTTTATAGCAGTATAATTCATGAAGGTTAAATCTTGGATGCAGTACATGTATGTGTCCATCATGAGATAAATGGATAAAGAACACACAATTTATTGCTACTGTGCCATAGTGAGGCACAAGCTTGAGTTATCTGTAGGCAAATGCATGTGCCTTCACACCATAATATTAAGTGAAATCAATCAGACACATAATCTTAAAAATCTCTCAGCCACCTCACAACCCTACTGCATTGCCTCTGGGTTTGTGTTATTTCAGGTTGGTTTGTGTTTTTTATTATTTTTCATGTGAGTAAAACTGTTACTGTGATTCTTTTTTTTCTGCAAGTGATAATGAATTAGAATTTTTGCGAGGAAAAAGAATCTTTGAGAGAATATGAAAATACTAGTCTGCAGATGATCAAAATTCAAAATTTGCCCAAATGTTTATATATGAATCTGTCAAGGATTATATTATCAATATATATTCTTTATATGACTGTTAGTATGAATATAATCCTTTCAGGTGTGCACTTTGTTTTGACTAAATGTTTTGACATGTTTTGACAAAATGTTTGGTGGAATATATATTAAGAAGTGTTAGTTCTTTTTTGAGAATTGCTTTTTATATCATCATCTGATCACTGTAAGCCTTACTTTGAGGCACACATTGAATATTGTCAAATTAATATACTTTCAGCAGATTTTATTCAGTCAGTGCTAGACTAGTGTGGCTTTTTGCATAGCTTCCTATTTAATCTATCCTCATCAGTTTCCACATAGTAACCACTCCAGGTAGCCATAGAATTTTCTCCATAACCCAGGTGCCCAGATATTGATCAGCTCTGATTCCTGCTCTCTCTTCCTCTGACGTATTCTCCTGATGGCCAATAGAGAGTTTGACCACTGCTTGCTGGCAATCTGTAAGAGTCACATTTGCACCTGTGCTTGCTTAGTGCTGCCTTATCTGTGAATCATTTCATGAATCATTTTACGGTGAAGCATTTCATGTTTGAAAGCAGATAAACAGATATAAGTGAATGTGAATTTTGTTATTGATAATTTGTAATCTTAACTGGCCTTAAAGTTACCACCTAATTGAAGCTGGAATTTGAACTCCTGGTAATCCTCAAAATCATGGAAGTCCTTCAACATCAGCCTCCCAAGTGCTGGGACTACAGGCATGTACAACCACACCCGACCATAGATTTCCTTTTGTAGTGCCTAATTTTTTGAAATATTATAGTTTTTAATGCATTTAATGTAGTTTATTCATGTTCTTCCCCTCATTAATCACCCTTAGAATTTCTTTTATCTGAGTGCAATGTGGTCATTTGGTGTCACTCAGCTGTGAGATTATACCACCATTACCCTATTATCATTGTGCACAGATATGCTTGCTTCACTAACTGTTTTCACATTAGCATTTTTATTATTCATAAACCAGATTTAAAATTCAGTTGTTTTTTTCTATGAAACCACATTCATTTCAAAATGCTGCCGAAATGCAATTACGGAAAAAATGACTTAATCAGATTTGAAAAGAAATATAACCAATGGTCTGTCAGAACTATTCATTAGATATTTATCTGGCCCTGAGTATTTTGGGTGGCAGTTTTCAGGATCCTTCTATGAACTCTGAGATAGAAACACTGCATAAATATGATTTCTGTGAACCAGCCAGAAAAGCAATTGCACTATTTATTCTACTGTTGCTGTAGCAGTGAACTGCAAACTAGCATCAGAATTGCAGTGTGAAAATACCTGCATACACTTGGGTTTGGTGACCAAGACTTGGCGTTAATACTTGAAGGAATCAACCTCATTTCAGCTCTTACAAGAGAAGTTCAGATATCTCAGGGTGTGAGTCTCAACCTTCTTTCAGCAAATATATATGTGATTATTTAGGAGGCAGTGACCTTGGAGGATGTAGCTGTAAACTTCACCACGGAGGAGTGGGCTCTGCTGAATCCATCCCAGAAGAAGCTCTACAGAGATGTGATGTGGGAAACATTTATGAATATGACTGCTATAGGTAAGGATGACATCATTTCCTCATTTATACAATGGGAGAGCCTTGGTTCTTGCTCATTAGTACAGATGTATTAAATATACTGTGAAAACATTTTGAGGAATAGCCTAGACCTATTTACATTATACCCTTTTTATATACTGACATAGTCATTTTTTCTATTTCTATGGCTACAATTCAGGAGGGTCCTTGAACAACCAGCAAATTGAAGAAGAATACAAAAATTGGTCAAGAAGTCTAAGGTAATTTACATTCAGAAATACTCCCTAAGTGTTGGTGTGTGAACAGAAATACTATAACCAAAGAAATTACAAATGCAGCCATGTTCAAGTTTATTTCATCTCACAAAAATTTTCCAGATATGCATACAGGTTAATTTTGTATAATCCATCAATTGAATTCAGCAGTATTCTAATATAGGAGACTAACTTTGTAGTGATATTATACCAGAAATGCTATCTCATACATTGGTATTAAAATTATTTCATGATGAATATCATGAAAATGTATGAAATTGCATTTAATTATTGTGTGTTTGCATATCTGAAAAGAATAAATTTTGACCTTTGAGAGGAATTCATCTTTAAGTTATCTAGCTATATATATGTATATGTATGTCTGTATATATATATCTATATATATATATGAATAAGACATACATCATGTAAAAAATTGTTAGCCATCAAAATGTAGATGGTTACTCATATAATATTAGATGTTTTCAAAACAGAATTGTGTGCATTCATGTTTAAAATTCTTTTTTTTTTTCCGGTACCAGGAATCGAACTCGTGACGTCACGCTTGCCAGGCAGGCGCTGTGCTGCTGACCTAAATTCCCGGCCCCAATGTTTAAAATTCTTAAAGGCAGCCTTGTATATTGTTGGTAGGAATACAAAGTAGAACCATTTGCGTAATCAATATATAGATGTCTCAAAAAGTAAAAATAGCAGTTTGCATTTGATCAGGAAAACCTCCATATATATATATATATATAAA